TTATATATACCTGGACTGGGCGGTTTCACTGCGTGAATTGAATTTTCTGTAGGATATGTTTTTGCCACAATAGTCCGATTTTTCGCCTCTTCTTATAGCGCACGCAAGTTGGGCAGCTACTTGAAAAGCACTGTCAACATTGATATGCTGTCTGCTTGAAACTTCAAGTTGTGAAAAGTAGGTTCGAATCCACCTCTTTTTCAACTTTTTTAGTGCTGAAGAAAGCAACTGAAGAGCAATGGGTGATGGCTGAGAATCATGCTTGGACGTGACCAGAACAAGAGGCAAGTTCAATTTAGATCTCGATATCTTGTAGAGAACTTGCTCAATAAATTTTCCTTGATCCAATGCTGCTTGCTGAGAGAGCGTGGTATCATAAACACACATAAATACGTCGATAGGGTAAATCCCAGGCTTTAGATAATGTTTGGGAAAAGAATCTTCGACACCAAGCTGTGTCTTGCAATAGTATCTTAATTTTGGAATTGAAACAACATATTTAGTTTCTAGGCATCGGTCTATGTAGGAAATTGTGCTATGGATGGGTTGAAAGAGGTGATCATCGACAAATTCGCATTGCTCCATTATGCGTAGGGGCCATTTTTCGCCCCAAAACAACCAATGATCACCGCAAATGACATCTCCGTTGAAATCAGAGTAACTAATTATTGAGCTATGATCATCTATCCGGGAAGTTGAGTTAATGTATTGGTCTATCAAGGTTGACTTCCCGACTCTAGATGTGAGAAGTTGGCAAGTGCCACAGTAACCAATCACAGATAGCGTTAAAAGATCAGAGTCGTATTCCATTCCATTTTCTCGCATAGTATCAATACATTGGAGCTCATGAAACTAGCCACCAAAATACATATCCAAAGGCTATACGTTCACGTGCACAAAACACACATTCATATGAAGCTCATTATAAAACAACTTAAAGAAAAAGCTAACTTAAATTTATTAAAAATAAAACATATTTAGTTATAATAAATTATTTACACTTTATTTTATTCTAAAAATAAAAAAAATAAATTATTATTTACAGAGGGGATTTAAAAGCTCTTAAGATAACCTTAACTTAAATGTTTTTCGTTTTAGCGTTATACAGGCGATATGTCCCTCATCCTCATCCATATATTAATTATAACATTAGTAAAGATTTATTTATTGTGCAACGATGGATCTAATTGTGAATGTATTCATGAGGGGCTTGATGAAATCAATGTTAAACCGCATATCCATTTCAAAATCCCATACCGTCATAAGAGATCTACTCAGCCCGAAAACTTCCAGATAAAAGTTTTTTATGACAAATCTTTCTATGTGTTAAAGGATTCTTTATCTCTAAAGGTATACTAGCATAGTAGGTAAAAT